CAGGAATCTCTCCAGCCTAGCCTAGTCCAGCCTAGAGCAGCTGCACCACTAGAAGAGAGAGCTGAGGCTGGGCCACTGGGGGTGGCGCTGGGAGTAGAGGCTGGGTACAGGGTGCAGTCAGGTGGTGGGATCCAGCAGTGACCCAGACATGTAGGGGACACATGGGCCAGCCTGTGGCTCAGGACCAGACACTCAGGATGCAGACTCAGGTTGGCTGGCCCCCAGCAGGGCTCCAGGGTGATGACCAGGATGGGACCTAGGGATCACGCTAGGGCTTGTGGGCATCAGTCCTTCCTCAGAGCATGTGCCTCTCCACTTGTCTGTCTGCCTCAGAACAAGGAGAACTGAGTGCCAGCCTCTCTGCATGGATTCATTGGGAAGCACCAGCGAGCACTTGCTGTGTGCCAGCATGGTCAACGGACACAGCTCTCGCCCTTGCAGTGTCATAGCTGGGTGTGGGAGAAGAAAGTATTTGTTACAGATACGGTGACCACAGCTCTGTGCCAAGCCCTGGCCACAGGAACTGGTGGCACCTTGGTGGCTAGCAAGGAACAGATTTCAGGGTGGGTGTCTCTCAAGGTGGAATTTTTGCCAGCCAGCCAGAGGACAGTAGCCCTTGGCAGGAAGAGGGCCGGGAGGACTAGAGAGGGGGCATACCTCACATCTACCCAGAGGCTCTGGCTAGCTCAGGTTCTAGGGCTCTGGGGCAGCCTGGTCTAAATGCCACTCCATGGCTAGGCCTTGGACGTCCCAGGCCCTCTTGCCCTGGCCCGCAGACACTTAGCTCTGCTATTAGCAGCCAGCTTTGGAGGTAGACAGGGCTGGACCTGAGCACAGCTTCTGATTGAGAAATCAGCACTCCTGGAGCAAGGACTGCTCCTGTCTTGTGGTGGGTTGTGTGCAGGTGTGGGGCCTGGACACTCACTGAAGGTAGAAGGCACTGCCCCTCCTGCGATATGTCAGGGCCTGGTTCTACTTTGCTCTCACCACTGAACACTGTGACCCTCCTGTTGCATCCAGAGACTCTCCTTGCCCTGGAGGCCCCAGGATGTTTTTTCTAGTGTCTCTCAGGAGCTGCAGCTGGTAGGCGGGTCTCCCCGGGAGATGGAAAAGTTCTTACCCTGAGGAGGTTCGGAAATAGGCTGAAGAGATGGCTTAGAGACCACAGGGCCAGGCAGGAGGGTTGGAGGGGAAAGGAGGGGAGAGCTCAGAGGAAAAGGGAAGCAGGTGAGGTCTTTGAGCCGTGCTGCTCCCTGGGACAGCCGCGCTGCTCCCTGGGGCAGCCATGGCGCCAACACTCATTTCTTTCCCTATCTCCAGCTGGGGAGGCAGGAGAATAGCTGGGGTCAAGCTTGCAGCAGGCCAGGTCACTGTCCTCCTTGTGCCAGAACCCTTGGGGACCTGTGTGGCCGGGGGACACATTCTCAAAGTAGTTCTGTGTGAATTTGACAGGCACCACTGGGTTACAAAGGAAACCGGCTCTATCCAGGGCTACTATCGAGGGGGTTTTGGGCATAATTTGTGACATAATGATATGCAGGTGGCTCTATGAACAGGGAAGGGAGTAAAGCAAAGTGGCAGGCTGATAACCCTGTGACTTCCCAGTAGCAACTTGGACATACAATATTTCAGATGTGACAACTTTAAAGAGGGAGACGATAAGCGGTGACTGTGGGGGGATAAGAGTCACAGGTGCCACCCTCCCGGCCCTGTGTGGCCTGTGGACCACACAGCTGAAGGAAGTACTTGACTTTAGTTAAAGGTCAATGGAAATAAGGGTGGCTTTCCCCCACCCAGGTTCATCACCTCTGTGAGTGTGGGTCCCATAACTGTAACCCCAGCACTCTAGACATTTGGGAGTTTGAGCCCAACTTGGGCAGCTTAGTATAGCAAGACCCTGTCTCAAGAATAAAAAAAAAAATCTCCAGTACCACGGAAAAAAAAGAAAGGAGAGAAAGGAAAGAAGAAAGAAAAAGGGAAGGGAAAGGGAAAGCAAAGAAAGGAAGAAAGGAAAAATTCATATTTCTAGTCTTGGAATTCTCCCAGGAACCTGGGTAAGAGTCCCTGCACTAAGCACCAATGGCAGCACAGACAGGGGGGATCAGCTGCTTGTGGGTGTGTAAAACGTGTATGCAGACATCGTCTCATCTGATTTCATTGTAAGCGGAAGTAAGCACCTTACACCCCCCATTACACACAGGGAAACAGGCTCAGGACGAGGCTGTGTTGGGAAGGAAGCGGGTGGTGGCCTCTGCCAAAGTGTGCACAACGAGCACCACCCCAGCCCCTTGCTGAGCTGACACTGACAGGGCACAGCCAGGCCAAGCAGCATCCGAGGGCAAAAGGTGGGATTAAGGTCCCAGTTTGACAGAAGGAGCAGGAGGGGAGGGGAGGCATGGCCGGTGGGTGGAGCCATCCTGCCCCGGTGAAGCCTCTGTGGAGGCAGGGAGTGTCCTCAAAGTTCCCACAGAGACCCCTGGTCTGCTGGCATAGTGTCCCTCGCAGCTGACTCCGGGTCTTCCTCTGCTCTGACTCTGGTTCCATTCAGTAGCTGATGGGCAGAGTGGCCGTGCCTCCCCCTGACTCTCAAGCTCACTGCTCCGGGTGGTGGGAGGCTTAAGTTCTCGCATGCACCCCTTTGAGTCCCAGGGGATGCTGGGCCATGGGCCATGCAGGTGTGTGAACCCATTTACGAGCAGGAAACTTCCTGAGCACAGCTGAGGGGGGACCATACAGCTAAAGCCTTGTCATCTCCTGGGGCCCAGAGCTGCTACTGTGCTTATTTTCCTCCTCCTCCAGGGTGCTCAGCGTCCAGCACAGGGACACGCTGACCTCTCTCTGCTGCCCAGGCCTCAGCCCACCTGATTCCCAAGACTGTGGCCTGGGTGAAGAGCTTGCCCAGGGCAGAGCTGAGGAGCCAGCAAGCTGGCCAGGATAACAGGGGAGCGAGGGTTGAGCTAGGCATTTCTAACTTCTGAATCATAACTGTGTTAACGTATGTGGAAAGTGGGGAGAGTGGGACATTACACATCCACAAATGCCTCTGGATAAAACCAGTGTGACTGTTTTGCCACGTGGCCCTGTTCACCTTTTGGAGCAATCTGTGTGTCAGCCTTTGCACACACTTCAGCAACTCCTCTGAACACTGCCCTGGGCCTTAGCACCCTTTTAGACCTACCAGAAGGCACAGCCATTCCTTCACATCAGCTACCTGTTCATGATTCTCCAGTGGCCCTAATTTAAAGTGAGGATGGATTAATGGTCACACATCTGTGGGAGACTGTAAGTGCACTGGCTGAGGGGAGGCAGGCCAGCTCCGTAGAACTCAAGTCACCAGGGCTGGCCAGAGCTGGGGACCTGGAGCTGACACTGAGCAGTGTGGCCTGCCATGGGGGTTCAGGGCAGGGCAGGGCAGGGCAGGACCCAGGCTGGTATAGCCCCTGGGAGACCCACAGACTGAATGCACCCAGCAGCAGTCTCAGCTGTGGGTCAGGTCCTGAGGACCCTGGGTTGAGACAGTCCCCCCGACCCCAATCTGGCTGGCCAGCCTGCCTCTCTGTGCCTCCCTCCTTCTCCTCTGGTTCCCTCCCTCTTTTGCCCTTAAGAACTTAATCAGATCTGCCCAAGAGCCCCCAGGGGTAGCAGCTGGCACTAGGACAGAAATAGCTTCAGCAAAATCCTTGTATGTTGCAGGCCAAAGCTTCACCCAGGTTGTGTGTGGGATGTAGGACAAGGAGTAGCTGTCTCCCCAGGGGTATTGCCTGGCTGAGAGGCTCAGAGCCACAGGAACTGGGACTCAGGTGGCCCTATACCAAAGCACCTGTCCAGGAGGCCAGCCCAGGACCCCAGGAGGAGGGACCCCACAAGGCTGCCCTTTAGGCTGTCTGGCTCCATCCTAAGGGAGGGCCCTAGTCCTGGGGTGCAGGAGGTGGCTATTTGTAAGAGTACAGATGGCTTTCTGTGCCAAGGCTGGGCATCCCCACTGATGTTTGCTGTTCCCTTATAACGGTAAGGGATGGTGTCACATAACATGAGGAGGAGGGCAGTTTGAGGTCAGGAGCTGGGTCAGCCGGCACGGGTATGTGCATCAGAAGCTCTGGCTCTTTTCATCCTTTAAGTCATCGTCTCTCCTCCCCACATCAATACTAACATTACTTCAGTCGTGGGCACCTTTCCCACTGATGTTATGGTGCTCTCTGCCCTGTACTGGGGACTGACTCCAGGGCCTTTGTTTGTTATTTATTTATTTATTTATTTATTTATTTATTTATTTATTTATTTATTTATTTATAGACAGGGTCTTCTTGAGCTGCTAAGTTGAACAGGCCAGGCTCCTACATGCTGATTACAGCCTCTCAGAGAGTTGGGGTGGCAGGTGTGTGCCACCACACTTGGCTGATGTCAGTTTTTGCTGAGTCTCATATCTCCTGGAAAGCAGGGTCTGCACTGATGTGAGCATCAGGCCTGAATTACCAGAATGAATGGACAGACAGATTCTGGGCAAGAGTCACCAGGCGAGGTCAACCCTGCATGGTTCTTGGTTTCTGAGTACTACCTGGGAGGCACTTGGAAAGCTGTTCTCTGGTTCAGCCAGAAATGGATGTAGAAACCTGTTCTAACTGTACGTGTGTGTTCTTTCTCTTAACTCATGGGTAAAATGCTCAGCTACACAGTCTACCCCTGCTTACTCAGTGTGAAGATTCAGGAGACAATTTCCCTAGGCTCAACTATCAGAATGCCTTAAGGATCGTTATAACCAACAGGAGCACACTGCTTCTCCATATTGCTTACAGTGTCCTAGTTTATCCACATCTGCTTCTCACAGCTGTCTGGCCTGCTCTTAGGAGTCTAGAAATGACTGATCAGAGAAATGACTGTCTCAAGGCCACAAGCTCTGTTCATCTAGGGCCCGGCCCTCCTCCCACCTGTCTTCTGGGTTCCCCCTACCTGATTGGACCCAAGGAGGACACACCTGCTCTGTCTCACAGGGTCTAGGGGTCATGTCTCTTATCCCATGGCTCCGGTGGAATGAAGCTCCAGCTCGGCTGTCATCCCGGAGCCCAACTGAGATGGTGCTGGAGACACTCATGATGGAGCTAGTGGGGCAAATGCGTGAGGTGGAGCGGCAGCAGCGGGAACGCAGCAGTGCAGTCAGAAAGGTCTGCACTGGCGTGGACTACAGCTGGTTGGCCAGCACACCACAGCCCGCCTATGACCTCAGCCCTGGGGAGCGGCTGCAGCTGGAGGCAGTGTGTGCCAAGATCCACCCATCCTACTGTGGGCCGGCCATCCTCAGGTAAGGCTGGGCCCTGCAATGGGCACCACTAGGCTGGAGACTCTGGGAGGGAATCCTGGGAGGGAATGGTCCCCTGGACCAGAACTGGGAAGGGGCAGGGTGGAACCAGGCAGAGCAAAGGGCTCTGTGGGGATGGCTGGGCAGCTTCTGGAACACAGATGCTCTGAGGAGCAAGGACAGCAAGGATGTCTGCCTTTAAGCTTCCTGCTCCTCCTGCCAGGTTTTTTTTTTTTTTTTTTTTTTTTGTATTTTAGGGAAGGGTCTATAGGGTGTTCAGGGTCTCACTACTAGATTGGACTCATAGTGATTCGCCTGTCCTCCCATACGCTGGGATTACAGGTGCGCACCACCATGACCAGTCTCAATGGCTGTCTCAGCATGCCCTGGGGATGCGGCCGGCACGGCAGGCCCAGGGATCAAACCCCTGGCCCCTGCTCCTGCTTGCAGGAGCTTTAATCCTCTGAGCTATTTGGCCGGCCCTCCAGGTTGTTATTATCCTGGATTTTAACATAGCTGCTGCTTCTCCTTCATCAGGTTGTCTTTAATATTCCCTTCTTAGATTTTCCCACAAGGCCTCTCCTACACTGTGTTTATTTTCTTAATTTATTTATTTTTGCGGTACTTGGAATTAAACTTGGGACCTGTGCACTAAGCTACAATCCCAGATTTTTTAAGGTAAAAAATTTTGTAATGTGGACACAGGACCTTGTTTAGGCACTACGTTGCCCAGACTTGGCTCCCACTTTCTATCCTCCTGCCTCAGCCTCCCACAGAGCTGATTTTATAGGCACGTGCCACTATGTATGGCTCCGATACTACTTACTACTTCACACCAACTCTCACACTGGTCTGCCTGTGTGTGTGTGTGTGTGTGTGTGTGCACTTGAGTGTGCATGAACACCAGGTTCACTGCCCTGGGGCACTGGACATTTAAAGCGTGGGTCCAGCAGTGTTCCTGACTTGGAAGCCGTGGCTTTCCAGTCCTTGTCCCCATTGGATGTTGAGGTCAAAGAAGCACGTAGCCCACCAATCAGGAGTAGCATCAAAGTACCTCAAGTTCTTCATCTGTGTTTCTAATGAAATACAAACTTACAGTAAAACACCTGAATGTTCCCTGGACTTGCAAGCCTTCCCTCTCTCCTCCCTCAAACCAACACACACACACACACACACACACACACACACACACCCCTTGCCCACACCATTTCTTTTAAATTCCCCCTTCAGTCCTACTCCAGCCCCTATGATCCTTTAGTTTCTGGGGTCTTTGAATACCTCGTCCCTTTTTTCCATGCTGAGAATCTCAGCCTTCCTCCTTTGAGATTCTACATCATAGCAACTACGCCGGCTCTAGAAGTCACTGGGCGGGGTGAGGAGCCTGGGCTGGTGCTGCTCAGGGGTCTGCGGACGCGCTCCGAAGAGGCCTTGGGGTGGAGCCTGGTGCACAGCCGCCTCTGCAGGTTCCGGCAGCTGCTGGCGGAGCGGGAGCCGGCGGTGCAGGAGGTGTCCCAGCTGTTCCATTGCGCGCTGCAGGAGGCTCTGGAGCGCATGCGGCAGGAGGAGGAGCTGCAGCGGCTAGCTCTGCGGTGGGGCCAGCGGGCTCGAGGCGGCCTGGCCCCTTTCAAGGCCCGCGCGCGCATTGCGCCCTCCACCGGCCACATCCTGACGGTGTCCGAGCGGGTGGAGCGGGCCGCGCCATCTCGCACCAGGAGCGCGCCAGACTTCCGAGCTGGCATGGCCGGCTCGACGCAGACCGGGTGGGGCGTCCTGGACCAGCCCGGCTCGCCCGTGCACTATTAGCGCAGGGAAGCCTCTGGCCCGTCGCTCCGCAGACAGGGTGCCTTGTTCGCTGAGCTCTCCCTGCGCTCACTTTGTCGCTGTGACAACCTGATGGGCTTGACCCTGTCCCATCTCTTGGCTGTCCCAGAGCAGCTGCTTCAGGGTGAGCCGTGGTCATCTCGGTATCAGCAAGGTGGTGTCCACCCACCTCACACCCCAACCCCAAGTCCGAAGCCATGCAGTTAAAAAGCCCCTCCCAACATGGGTGTGGAAATTTTCAATTCATTAGGATCCCCTTAGGTGCCACCCAGACCCCAAGCCTTAGGAAGAGGCCCGATGATGCTTCAAAACCTAAAGCAGAAGGGCCGCTCTAAGGCAAACTTGTTCTGGAGTTTTCTCTTTGGCCAGACACGCTCTGTGGAATGTACTTTCTTGCAATAAATCTCTGCCTTTCTTATTACTTACTTTTGTGTGTCCTGCTGTTTTCTGTTCAGGATACAAAGTACCTGAGACGACTGTCTAGTAACACTTCTGGTGTGGGGCCCTCCCCGCTCTCTGGCCAGGTCGCAGGGAGCCTCACCCACCTCCTCTGGGGTCCACCTCTCCTTCCCCCTAGGTCTGGAGGGTGGAGAGCTTTCCTGCTTCTCAGCAACACCTGGGTTCTCACGGGATGCCCACTCACGCTCTCACTATGTTGAGAGTGTCCATTCTCCACTGATGCCTGGCTGCCTCATGGCTGCAGGTGGTGACAGCCTCAGGCAGCAGAGGTACAGCCAGGACCCACCTTAGGGCTGAAGCGGCCAGGTGCAGTAGATTGTTCTTGTAGGAGTGGTCTCTACCCAAGTGCTGGAATCCTGGGCTAGGCTGGGGCTACATCTCCTCCTGCTGTGGTGAGACCAATCTCTTACCTTGGCACTGAGGTGGGAGTGGAGTCTCAGCTCTCCAAGGAAGGTAGCTGGGGGTGGAAGAAGATCTCCCATACCTCCTTCCAAAGGCTGAGTGTTCAGGCCTTCACACTGCTGCTATAGAGAACACAAGACTCTGAATCCCAGGCTTCTTCTGGGCCTCCTCACATGTGCTCTCTTCTTGCCTCCTCACACTTCCCTAGCAGGTGAGGTCCAAACCTGCATGGGCCTCAAGGTGCCTGAGGAGAGTGGCTGGGGCACATGCTACAAATTTCTCTGTCCTCCACTCCCGACATGCTTGTGTGGCAGTGACAGGCATATGGACTGCCCGGCTCATACATTGCCTATGGCACAGCTGGAAGGCCAAGTAGACTCCCAAACCCTGGGCATGAAGTGGGAGCAGACAGATGAGGAGTGTCTGCCCCACACTGCTAGAATCAGTGGATCTTGACCAGAGTATAAACAAAATGAAAGGGGAGGCAAATCACTGAAGGGAATCTATTTCCCAGCCAAAGCTTTGTGGGAAAAAAAAATTCCTCTCTGATGATCTAGTTTTGTATAATTTTCACTGGAATGGGGGCAGAGGATCATAGGATAGTGGAGGCCTCTCTTCCAGTGTTATCAAAGTGAAAGAGTAAATTGCTTTATTTGTAGAAGCTGTGAATCACTTAGATAAAAATATAAACCTTAAATGATTACATTTGGAAGACATTAGAAAGTTCATTCAGTGGTCCTACTGCAGATGTAGGTCCAAGCTGTGTTCATTTCTGTGTGACACTTGAATTGTGTGACCAGAGTTCCACACTGCAGTTTGGTTTGTGTGTACTTTAGTTATGACCACAGACATTGGTGGTAGAAATAGGCTTTGACATAAACAGAAGTGACCCTTGGGAAGCAGACAACCCAGGTGGGAGGGCCAGTCTGCTGAGAGACAGCTAAAATAAAGCCTGCAAGATGGGAGTGTGCCGGGCCTAGTCAAAGGGCAGCTTGCTGCTGAGGGTCATCTGGAGGGAGACTGGGACAAGGCTGCTTCAGAAATTGTTATGGTTTGTGTGTAGTTGGCCTCCCAAAGCCTCATGCAGTCACTGGCGTGTGGTTCTAGAGTTTTTGATTAATTCATGTTCTACGGCTGGGATTATGGATCTGAGCACTGCTGGGATCAAGGGTGAGTGCTACACCCACCTGGGGCACAGAGCCTGAAGGCAATATAAGCAAAGGAGAGAGGCTTGCCCCTCCCTTTTGCTCTTGCTGTTTTGCTGTTTTCTACCACCATGAACAGCTGCCCTCTGCCATGTGCTACTCTGCCTTAGAGCCAGCTGTGTATGGGCTGAAACTTCCACAAACTGTGAGCTAAATACCTTTCCTTTCTTAATTTTGGGTGTTGAGTATTTTGTCCCAGCAATGAGGAAAAAGTAACTGAGACAGAAATCTTCTGCTGTCTCCCTCCTTCCCCGTCTCCTCCACGGATCTCTTTTCCCCCAAGAAAAGAAGACAAAAGGTTGTCAATATGCTATTTTTTTATAAAGGTTTAAGAGACTGGCTACCCATGAAAACCTGGCAGGCAGCAGCTGTCCCTGCAGGGCCATTGCCAGCCCAAGCTCTGCCCTCCGCTCAAATGAAAATGCAGAAGAAAAATTTAAGGTGTCCGTACACCTCCATTCTTAATGATTATTAATGTCATATTTGAATTTCTCAGTTATCAATTTTTGTGAGTTATTTTAATATAAATGCCAGGCTTTGTATAACTATATTTGCCACTATCACTGTTAGCAAAATTAACAGTAATTTCTTAATATTATCTAAAACCCAGTCCATATTCCAATTTCCTTAACTCTCCAACAAATGATTCTCATAGTTTACTTCTTTGAATGAGGACCTGATCCAGCCCTTAAAAAGTTATAACCTGCTTTACAGGAGGTCATGTGGTGGTGCTTAATTCTATAAAATAGAGTGCTCAAAGGACAGTCATGCTGACATGTGATAATTAATGCTCACTCATACATGATATTTTTGCACATTAACTTAACAGATGCTTTTTACTCAGGCTCTTGTTTTATTAAAATTCTTCCACAGCAACCAAGACTCTAATATTTTGAAAAATAATGTCTGGGCTGGGGATATAGGTCAGTGGCACAGCACCTGCCTGGCAAGCGCAAGGTCCTGAGTTTGATTCCTGGTACTCACCCACCCCCCAAAAGAGAAAGAAAATAAATAAAAGTAATGCTAACTACTGATAATGATAATATATTCAGTATGGCCTTTGTACTAGATTAAAATGGGTACATTAAATTTTTTTCTTAGTGATATATACAAATACTTTAATACCAGGTCCTCTTTTCTTGCCATTTTAAGCACTAAAATTTATCAAAATGAAGAGAAATCTCAAGAATTCAAAAGGTAAGCAATGAAAAGTTTATTCTATTTTTCATGACATTATTTGCCATATGATTAAATTTTCATTTGTGCCTTAATATTTATATGATCCTCCAACAAAATACAATGTTCAAAATTTATCCACAAATCATTTAGGCAATTATTATATATTGTATTATAATGTCTAGCAATGTGCTAATTTTAAGCTACAAAAATTATTTCTTTGTCATATTTGTGACAAAGTTAACAAGGTTATTGTTTGAAGTGTCTCTAGCTGCTCGAGTCTGCTTGCTTGCTTGCTGCAGTACCAGGATTGAGCCCTTCACACTGAGCCCTTCTGAATTTTGAGTCAGATTCTCACTAAGTCACCCAGGCTGAGCTCAAACTTGCAAATCAGTTCCCGTGTTACTGAGACAAGTGCTCACAAGCCAGCAGAGGCTGTGGCGTTTTCTAGCACATGTTATTGCATGGCAGTCAGCACTTTCCTTGCTGGAACAATTGCAATGTTCCCATGGGCCAGGCTCTCAGCTGAGCTGGAATGTGGTGCCAGGAAAACTACATTCCAGCGAGAGGCTGTTCCCCTCCCTTCAGCTGAGAGATAACTGAGACAAAGCTTGCAAACAAGGCACTTCCAGGGAGCCTGTCAGCACCTGCTCAGAGCCAGGGGACTCTGGTAGGCACCAGACCCAGGACAAAGCAGCTATAATTGAAATTAGCCTCTATCTAGGAGGAAGGAAACAGTCACCAGGCAAACACGCTGCTAAAGATGCAAAAGAAAAGAAGAAACACACTTTCTAGTCACATCGCCTGCTTTATAATATTGCTCTGACAGAGATGGCTGTCATTAAGAAGATCCTTTATCAGCATTTGAGTGGTGCAGTAAACAAAGAGCTTTCATTCACTCTCTCTCTCACTGATCATGAACAGGAGCTGAACTGCCCTGTGTTTGATTTCATGAGGGCTATGTGCAAGTGGCTGCACAGGATCAGAAGCCAGGGTTCCTTTCTAGTGTCAGCACTGCACAGCCTATGAGCTCTGACAGTCCCCAGGGTCCTTCATCACTGCGCATGCCACATCACCATGTGACATGTGCTGGTCTGCAGTTACTCATTCTCCACCATTCTCCTGTCTCCAGGGGTTTATGAAATCCTTATGTGCAGAAACTAGGGATTCTGTCTACATCCCTACCCCAGGACACAGGCACATAGTAGGTAGCTTACAAGCACATTTAATGGGTGGGTACACATGGACACTCACATACAGCTAACTCAGGGCAGAAGCAGGGCAGAGGGAAGAGATGGACGGACCCTGAGGAAGCTGCAAGGTACCTGACCATTCATTAGATTGTAAATTCTTTGAGGTCAGGGTCCAGGTCTGATTTCAGTTTATATCTCCTAGGATATGCCTGGAACATGGTAAGTAGTCCACACTCTTCTTTAAGGATGCATTCCTTCACTCATAAAATATGTGTCAGGCACCTCTGTGTGTAGTAACCATGAAGGAGATGGGGGGCACCTATAAAGTAATCCAGCCAGACAAGATGGAGCTGAGCTTGTAATTCTTCTGTGAATTACTCCAGAAGGCTTCTCAGGGATGTGGAATCCCCCAGCTGTGTCTTTGGTCACAGTGACCAAGGTATGTCTAGACTGAAAACAAATGCCAACTGCTACGATCCTTTGTTCTGCCAATGCCTTTCCCTAGTCTATGTGGGTCTTGACAGAAACACTTCCACTTAACATTTCT